CATATAAATGAAATCATACAATATGTGACCTTTTATGTCTGGCTTCTTTCACTTAGCACAATGTTTTGAAGGTTCATCCACACTGTAGCCTGTATTGGTACTTCACTCCTTTTTATGGCTGAATACTACCTATTGTAGTTCATACCACTTAATTTTGTTTATCCTTTCATCTGCTGATGAACATTTGGGCTGCTGCCACATTTTGGCTCTTGTGAATAATGCTGCTATGAACATATGGGTACATGTACTTGTTTGAGTACTCATTTTCCATTCTTTTGGCCTATACTAGGAGTGGGATTTCAGGGTCATATGGTAATTCTATATTTATCTTTTTGAGGAGCCACCACAATGTTTTCCACAGTGGGTGGACCATTTTGTGCTCCTACTGGTAATATACAAGGGTTCCAGTTTCTCCACATTCTTGCCAACACTTGTTATTTCCATTAAAAAAATTATAGTCATCCTAGTAGGTATAAAGTGGTACCTCACTGGGGTTTTATTTTACATTTCCAAAATGACTAATGATGTTGAATATATTTTTGTGTGTTCATGTGCCATTTGTATGTCATCTTTGGAGAAATGTCTGTTCAAGTTCTTTGATCATTTTTAAAACAAATTTTTTAAATTTTAATTTATCAATATAAAATGTAGTTGATTTTTGTGTCCCTTTACCAATTCTTTGATCATTTTTTAATTGGATTATTTGTCTTTTTTTTTTTTTGATTGTTTGTGTTTTTTGCTGTTGAGTTGTAACAGTTCCTTATATATTCTGGGTACTAGAATATATCAGTGTATTTATATAGAGAGAGAACTAGCATATATATCTTTCAGATAAATCATTTACAAATATTTTCTCTCATTGTTGTCACTGTCTCTTATTTCTTGCTCTTTGATACACAAAAGTTTTCAAATTGAACTTTTTTTTTTTGGTGACATCTTAACAATATTAAGTATTCCAATCCATGAACATGGGATATCTTTCTATTTATGTAGCTCTTCTTTAATTCCTTTCAGGAATGTTTTGCAGTTTTCAGTGTAGAAGTCTTTTGTCTCTTTGGTTAAATATATTCCTAGGAAATTAATTATTTTGGATGCTATTGATTTGTGTGTGTGTGTATGTGTGTGTGTGTGTGTGTGAATAAATCTATTTTATTATTAAAGCAGAATTGATTACACATCTTTTTGGATACAGCATTGACTATCGCTATTTGTGTACAATATGTGATGATCAAATCATAACTATTACCATATTCATTATGAGAAATTGTAATTATTCTTTGTGCCCTTTTGTAAATGAAATTGTCCTTAGAGTTTTTGAGAGATAAGGTTCTATTATAAATAACATTTTATAATATTAATATACAGATACAACCCGGCTTTGTGGGATCTCCTATTGGCTTCTGGGCACCTCTGCTATGCTGAGAACTTACCCCTTTCTTGCCCTGGGGTGGTTGGCTAGAAAAGGGCATTTTCAGTTCAACTTCACTGTGGGAAGGAATGGCAACCTTAAAATGATGAGATTTGCAACCTTAAACGGGTGAGATTCGAATACTAAGTTGATCTGAAGATGAAGAGAGAGGTGGGGAAAACTCAATATAATAACACCCAAAGAAAGCAGCTGATAGTGCAATATTATATTATATTATACCTCCCACCTCATATACTATACTAAACTCCCTGCTCTGTGAACCCATCAGATCCTTTCATGTTGCATGCCATTATCCATACAAGCTCTTTCCTCTGCCTGAAAAGGTTTCTCTTCTCATTGTCTTATTTTCATTGCTTGGGAAACTATTATTTTTCTTTCAAGTTGCAGTTTGGAAAGTTATATATAGGTCAGTATATCCCAAACAGTGGTTTATGGACAGATACTGACCCATGAAGCCATTTTCATTAGTCTATGGTGAAAATGTCAGCCTTTACTCTGAAACTAAGGCCTTCCTAGTTTGTGCGTGCATGCATGTGTGTGTGTTTAAATATCCTTTCATTTAATGAAACAATTAGAATAACTGTAAGTTTCTCTTATTTGTACTCATTCTTTGTGTCTATTAACCAATTTCCACTCTATTTTCAGTCTTTTGGGCTTTATTTTATTTTTTGTATATCTCTCAAGGAAGAAAATACCATACAGAGCCTCAAAATATGTCTATATTTTTTGATAGGCACTGTCCAGCATTCACTCAAAACTTACCAGGCATATCAAGAGGAAAGACCAAGAGAAAAATAGACAATAAAAACAGGCCACAGGGAACTTATATATTGGAGTTACAGCCATGAGCTTTAAAATAACTTTGACTAAAGTATTTGAGAAATTCGATAACAAGATGGAGAATTTCATTTGAGGAATGGAAACTATAAAAAGAACCAAATGGAAATTGTAGAATAAAAAAATATAACAATAATTAAGAATGCTGAAGTATGTATTCATTAAGCTTCTAGATAAACATCCAAAGAAATGCCTACATAAACGCTCCAAGAGAAATGTAGAAGAATCTTTCTAGCAACATTATTCATAGCAGCCTAAAATGGATATATAAAATGAGGTATATCCATACAATTACAGTACTGAAAACCAGCAAATTACTGTTATGTGCAACAATACAGATAGATCTCACAAATAATGTTTTATGAAAGAACAAACGCATGAAAGAATGTATACTATATGATTCCATCTGTATAAAGGTCAAAAATAGGTAAAACTAATCTGTTAGAAGTCAAGATAGAGGTTACCTCTTGGGAAAAGGGAAGGGGTCATGATTGGGAGGGGACATAAGCAGGGCTTTGGGGATGCTCATAATGTTGTATTTCTTTATCAGGGTGGTGGTTATAGAAATGTGTTCACTTTAAGGTAATACCTCAAACTGAACACTTAGAATTTGTGCATGTTTCTATATGCATATAAAATTTATAATATAACACTTATCATATACTTCAATAAAGTGTTTATTGAAGTAAAGCCAGAACAAATTATTATTATTTTACAGATAAAGCATCTTTTCTTAACTCTGAGAAAAAAATATATATTCCCTACCGCATGTATTTCCTTTTTCCTGATAGTTTGGGTATCTGTCTATTATGTACCTGATATACCTCAGTTCAGAAGCTCTCTGGTTCAGTTTCTCTCCAGAGAATAAATCTGCTGCTGTTTGGTTATACAAAGTTAGAGAGGGAACCTGGGGTCCTATAGCTACCTAGATAGAATTTTAACGAATCTCCCTGATTTTAGCCATATCCCTTCTCCTTCCTTTTGTAGTACCCAGGGCTGCCAATCCTAGATCCTCTCTGAAACTCACTGGCAAAGCTCTCTGTGAGCCTAAAGGTCTCAGCTTTCTCGGCTTTTCTAAGCCACTCTTTAATCTTATAAAATTTATGAACACATTTTGTCTGTTGTTTTCTCCACTCTCATATTTTTCATCCTGGTGGGTTTATACCTTTTTTAGTCTGTATTATAATTTTAGTGGGGCTTAAGGAAGAATCAGAGATTAAAACATGAATTAAATTTGCCATGTTTGATCCACTTTTTTCTTTACATTTATTTTTAAACATTAATCAGATCGTGATTCACCTCCTATGATCTGATGTACAGTGCACATATATTTCTATAAATTTTGAGGTTTCTTGTTATCTGAGTGCCATTTTTAAAAATGAAATCTTTCACTTTCTCATATAACCTTTAAGTGGTACATAAGATGAGCAGGCACACTTGCTGGCTTGTGATCTCTTTGGGGAGCTGCTACTACACTGCTGTATTTTACTATCAAATAAAATTTATAGACACAGTGTCCTATTCCACAGAGTGAGCCACATAAGAATTTCTCAGACACTCTTCCAGATGGAGCACAAGTATAAAGTCTACATATGAACTTCCAGGAAATCACCTTTGACATCTTATGTGCAGCCCTGTTCACTGCGCTTCTAGAAGAACTGATTAAAAAAAAAAAATCTCAGATGAAAATCAAAAGTAGCATCAGTATTCTTGCAATAATTTTGGCTGTCTAAAACCATCTTAGTAGGATAGTGTGCCACCTTATGAATTCTAGATGGCTGAGTTACCTGCAGAGTATATTTATTAATCAAATAATGAATAATTAATGTATATATTTCTAATGTCTCTAGAAATAATATGAGGAAGCACTCAACTCTTTCCATTTTAACACAATCTCTAGAAATTTAGTGTGATTTCTCCCAAATGACTACATGAAATGTACACATAGTAATAATACAATACAGAGAACAACTTAGAGCTCTTTGGATGCCCAACATCTTTTGCACACCCTTCCTAATTTGGTGACTTTCCCTCACAATAAGTCCTGCCTCCCTAGTCAGAAATCAGACATTTGCTTTGCCAGCCTCCCTTGCAGCATGCAAGCTAGGCTCCTCACATCAGATACAGTCACGACAGACTTCATTCAGTAGAGAGGAACATGAAAAAGAAGAAATCCACCTCTGGTGAGGGTGGCAGGGAAGAACACAGCCTGCTTTCAGGGGCCCTTGTAATAGAAATTCTGGAACCTAGAACCCAGCATTATGGTTGGACTAAAGGAGTCTCTGTACAGTTGCAGTAGCTATGGGGGGGTCATCCCTGGAGCAGTCTTGTGATAGGGGCTGGCTTTGTTCTTGGCTGTAGGCTGTAAGCCTGAGTCTCTAGAAATTCCTGACATTCTCTGAACTGGCTAATTTCCTTAGATAAATTCATTTTCTGTTTTAACCATCTAAAGAGGATTCTGTTGTTTGTGACTAAGAACCCTAACTCAGATAGCCAAGTGAAAAAAAAAAAAAAAAAAAAAAAAGGCAATGACCACAGCAAGAAAACAATACATATTTGTGACATTCAGCTACAGTAAAAATAAACATTTGATCCAGAACAAAGATTGCCGGCAAATTTACTTTAGCAGACATAAAATCAAACTTCTGCCACGCATTCATACTATTCTAAAGGTATGGCTAATTTTAAAAATATGTCAGAGAATTTAAAAATCTTGATAGCAACTTGAACATACCATCTTTATCAGCAGTGTCTTGAGGCTTTGATTTTAAGGTGAAGATCTTCCGTAGCTTACAGTTAGCTGAGACAATAATTCCATCCAATGACTGGAAAACTGCTCCCTTGAATATTTCACTGGTAAATGCTACCAAGTCAATGCATAGATTGCACCACTAAAATAAAGAGAAGCAGAGAGTAAATACCTTCCATAATCACATAAATGAACAAGCCATCTATACGCAGAAAGTCCGGAGAGTTGAGGCAATTATTTGGATCAACCAGCCCACAACCAATTTTCCCCTTTAGGCAAATCTATCCCTGTTTTAGCTTAAACTTTCTTAAAAATTGCCTTGATTTTCCAAAGAAATCACCATAAACTACACATTGGTCACTTGACTACAGAGTTTCCATCATGAGACAAGGCTATGACAACTTTGGGAAATAACTCTATCTGCAGGAGGCAGTACGCTAGTCAGAAGCTAACTACAGGCGTATTAAACCACTCAAATCTTGAAAATCAGGGATAAGTAGCCAATTGTTCCTTCAAGGGGACCAATTTGATCATAATTAGCCACTTATATTTGTTTAAAAAAAGGCATGGATGAAATTAGAAGCTGTGTTTAAATTGTGGCCAGTGCTATCTACTTATAACCAATTAACCTATTGTACAGAAATAAATTCCTCTAAAGAATTTGTAATTATGCCTGGTATTTACTGGTTTTTAAAGTACTCTTGCAGGGACTAATTTCTGCCCATTAAACAATTAGACCCCTTGGTACTTCATCAAATATATTTTCTAAGTGATCTGAGTTAGAGAAAAGGAAAAAATAATCATTTAGTGAGAAATTAAGACATATTTTTAAGACTGCAAAGCAAAAGCAGGAAAAAGAATTTTTGAAATTAAAAGAAAAACAGTATTAAAATTGTATGTGTTTCTTTTAAAATATCAGGCTCCTCCTGTTATTTGTTTAGAAGCACAGTTTACATAAGGTCCATTATGTAATTTTTTTAAAGGCAAATCTTTTCTATCTAGGAATGTTGATTTTAATGTGGAGGTGAATCTGAGGTTGTTTCCAGAGTAGAAAAGTACAAGAGATTTCAGTAAATTATTGATTAAATACATGACATCTTTGTAGACATCTCAAGAGTGAAATTATATTCCCAGGCCATGGAGTTGCTCTGGTCTTTTGGGGGGAAAGGAGCTTGATGTAAGCAAAGGTAGGAGATAGGACAGAGTGTAATAATAAGATGAGGACCAGCAGAATGGCGAGCCCTGGGGAGGAGTAGGAAGTCACGTGGGATGAGCCAGTGAGGCCAGGTTCTGGAGGAGCTGGAGGATCAGCAAGAGGACCATGGATTCAAGAAGGTAAAGCGTCACTGTGGATCTTGAAAGAAAAATGTGCAAAAGGAGAGTACTGAGAAGTTTGGACTAACCCTGATGCAGGAATATCTTGAGGTGGTAGTAGGGGCCAGTGGTGGGGAGGGGCTGAGGCAGACTAGAAAGCACCGAGGCACAGAAATACTAGGTCAGTCATCTAAGCATTAAATGAGGAGGGCTGGCTGGAAGACTGATGCAGGAATTGGAATGTAAAGTAGATATGCCATAGGATGAAACTTCATGACGTGGTGAAATCCAAGCTACAGGGGATGAAGGTGTTGGGGTTTCCAGTTATCCTGTAATTATTAACATTATTATTATACTAGCATTATTATTATTGTGTAAACGTGGTTCTTAGGCCTAAAAAATATAACATCGTGCCCCAATCCCAACATTCAGCTGGTTCAGCCCATTGGTAATCCCATGCCCCCATTCTTACCCACACATGCTAAGCACTTCACAGGTGTTAGACCAGGCTTGGTTCCAGTGATACAGATATGAATGACTGTCCTTCCAGTCTGGGAAGGAAGGCAGACAGGTAGCAGCTACTTAATATAGTTACTTTAAAGGGGGCTCATGATGGGTAGAGAGGTTTAGGAAAGCCTTCTTTTAAAAAACATTAAAAATTTTTTATCACAGTATTACATGCAAATATAAGCCAAATAGTAACAAAAGTTTCATACAAAATACAGTCCTTTGTTATCCTTCCCTTCATCTAATCATATTGTCAACTCGTTTAACTGTTTCTTCTCTCCATATTTTTAAATAATACCTCTTGACAGTGAGACTATTCTCTATGATACTATAATGGTGAATACATGACATTGTGCATTTGGCAAAACCCATAGAACTGTGAAAACTGAGTTAATAATAATATACCAATATTGGCTCATAGCTGTAATAAATGTTGCTCTAATGTAACATGTCAATAATGGGAGAAAATGTGCATATGTGTGTGCGTGGGGGGCAGGGTGTGGAACCTATCAGGACTTTTTGCTCAATTTCTCTGTAAACCTAAAACTGTTGTAAAAATAAAGTCTATTAAAAACATTACCCCTCTCCCCATATAATACCTCTCAATTCATCAAATTTAGACACTATCTACTATCTTCCTGTTATGGTAGGATAAGACTTTCAGCTCATTCACACATCTTGCTTCTCCCAATTTGCCTTCCCTGGAGAATTAGCTCCCATTTGCTCTCTTTTTTTCCTTAAAAAGGATGGGAATAACTTTCATAAATCCCCCTTGTCTAGAGAAACAGAATTTTTTTTCGTTTAGCTGGCATTTATAAAGGTTCCAATTTTCATAAGCTTCAAGAACTAACTCATTATTTATATAAATGCTGTGATATATTTTCTGAAGTTTTGGAAAAGAGTATTAACTCTCTGCTATGAACAAGTGGATTATCTGAATTACAGCTGAACTTTATAAAATAGTATTTTCTTTATTCTTAGTGATATCATCCACTCTTAGAATCCTTTTTTTGACATTTTTCTTGATCTCTAATCATTTTATTCCTTTGTGCAACTCTAGTCCAGCAGGGAGCAAGCCTTTATCTAAAATGTTCATAATTATAGGCTTTAAGAAGTGTGCACCAGAAAGATGGTAATCTGAGAGAGAAAAGACAGTACTGTTTAGTTTGTTGCTTGGATAAATAAGTGAGTTTATGCTACTTATTTCCAGCACACAATTTCACATAAAATAGTTGACTGGCAAAGGTTGACAATGATTCAAAGCACAGATTCCTGGTTTTTGTTGACTCATATTTTGGCAATATGGCTTTATCATACTGTTGAAATAACTGCATATTCTGTGAAAATACACACATGTTCAGGTGCATGTAATAACAAGTTCTTGGTTGTCCCAGAATTTTTTTGATTCCCCATCCCCCTATTCTCTGCCATTACTGTAGAAAAGATCTCAAGATAATTGGTTTCATTTTCCCTGTGTGGAAAGAGTCTGACTTAGTAACAATGCACAGCTCTAGCTAGCACTGTCCTTCTAAAAGGAAATGACAAACAAGAAACCACAACACAACCTGGCAATCCTAAAAGTATACACCTTCCCAGAATTTTAAAACTTCATTTTGATTTCATGCTCCTACGATGGTATACAAAGAACAGGATTTTAGGATGTTTATTTTTAATGCCTTTAAAAATAAATTTTCTCCTTAGTTTTAATTTCTCAATAGAAAGTCAATTTACAATGACCTTTTTCATCTCTACCACTACCACATTGTGTTTAAGTGGTGTAAGCAGAGATTGAAATTGCAATTTTATATTCATGTGATTAGGAGAGGCAATTATCTATTACTACTGTATTAAAAACAATTTCTCTCACAAAAGCAAATCATGGTAAGTCCTTCCATGGAGAGAGGTGAGGAGGAGAGGATGGGGCTGCCAGAGCTGCCAGAGGCAGCTCTTGGCTGAACCAAGGAAGGGCAAGCTCCTTGTAGGAATATCAGCACTATGCTCTCTCAGCAATCCACCACTGCCTCCCACTTCCTACCCATACTGAGCAGGCTGACTCCTCCTGAAAGAGCAGGCCCACCTATCTCTTTGCTAATCCTCACGTCGCCCTTCCTTTCACTGTGCCCTCCGAAATTTGTACTTGTGGAAAGCACTTACATCTTCTATATTTTTCTGAGGGTCCAATATACCTTTCCTTAACTGAAACCTAGTTTTTTTTTTTTCTGAGATATTACTTCCCCTTCAACTCTGGAGTTGAATTTCACTTATGGAGCTCATTTATGCTTAAACAGCCCTCCATTTTGAAGCCAAGGGGCTGGGCGGCATTGGGACAGGGTTTGCACTTCTGACTTTGAATCTTATCATTTTTGATACCCTTTTAGCTTCATCAACCTTCAAATCACTCCCTGATCACTCCTTCTACTCCCACAGACACACCCACACTGTCTTCTGCACACATTCCTGAACAATGATGGGAACAGGTTCATCTTGCATTCTACCATCCTGCTCAACACCCTAACAGTAACTTAAGTTCCTTTACTTCAAAAGCCTTCCTCTCCTCTTTTCTATGTAATCCACTCATATGGCTACATCTTGAGACCTAACTCCATTATCCTGAAATATTCCACTTCTCAAATTTTTTGAAGTAACTTTGAAGTGTCCCAGTTCCTTACACTATCTGTGCCTCCTTTTTCTCATTTGTAAAATGGTGACAATAATGATACATTCCTCATAGAGTTGTCAGAATTAAATATTTAAATACAGGTAAGCATTTATAATAGTGCCCGGAATATAGTAAATGCTCAGTCATTGTTAACATATATTCTTTTTGGCTTTCATGCCATGAATTGCACTATGGTTACAATTCAATTAATCCTGACCATTTCATACACCTGCATACCACACCCATCAAGATATAGGCAGTTCAATCATCACAGACAGATCCTGCAGTTTCCCAATCAATTCCAGCATTCACCCCTTTTAGGGGCAACCACTGATAGCTTTCACCTTAGGTTACTTTTGTTTGTTCTGGAACTTTATATAAATAGAATTGTAGTAAATGGCTTCTTTCAATCAGCATAATATTTGAGGTTCATCAGTGCTGTGTGTACTGGTAGTTTATTCTTGTTTGTTCAGTAGTACTCTCCTCTGTGAATATACCACAATTTGATTGCTCATTCTTCTACTGTTGGACATTTAGGTTATTACAAGGTTTTGGCTATTACCAATAAAGCTGTTCTTTATTGATATCTGTGCCAATACCACACTGTTCTAATTACTGTAGTTTTATAAGTCCTGAAATTATGAGGTGTAAGTTTTACTTTT